AATTATTATTTTATAGATGAATGTTTCTGTTCAATTATTATTTTATACATGAATGTTTCTGTTAATTATTATTTTATAGATGAATGTTTCTGTTCAGACAACTTCTGTTGTGACTTGGAGCTTCATAAATAAACTGAACTCAATTTAAGGCTCTGATGTTGGTGAAAAGTGGAGACGTCAAAATATACAAGTTTCTCTTTCATGGATGGATGGATAGGTTATTTATTTATTTATTTCTCTATTTATTTGTTTATTTATTTATTTGGGAGTCATGCAGTAGCATGTTTTAATTAGACAGAAAAAACAAGAAATAATAAAAAAGAAACAAAATACAGAAACTTGGAAAAAGACAAAATGCACGGGGTGGTAGGAAGTACTAATTGATGATTAACCTGGATATGTTTGTGTACATGTACAGTACATGTAAAGTTCATGTAAAGTTCATGTTTCCTCTGTGACGTGTGTTTTCCACAAGAGCAGCTGAAGCACCAACAACATGTTTCATATTATAAACTGGATTTAGGAGTTTTTGCTGCTGACGATGGGTCTGACAGGTGTTCCTGTTCCTCTGGATATAATCTGTGATCAGATGAACGACTTGGAGGTAATCTGGTCTGGTCTGGTCTGGTTCTGGTTCTGGTTCCTGGGACTTTGTGCTCTGTGTTTGCTGGTTGAGTCCCTCTTCAGGGTCTCGTATGTAGCGTGTGGATATTTTGTCCTGGGAATCAGAGTTTGGTTTGGTTGTGATGACGAGTCCTTCCTGAAGTGGAGGCAGTCAACAGATTCCTTCCGTCCTGCCGGGTCGACCCGACAAACAAGTGGTCCGTTGTTTGTTTTTGTTTCAAAGGCTTTTAATCAAAAGGGTCAGCGGCCGCGTCGACTGCATCTTTTATCCTTCAGGAAGGACGGCCACGTTTCATCCATCAGCTCCAAGTCCAGCAAAATTCAATCAATGGCTGAAAGCGGAGCCGGGGCCTCGGCTGCGCCAACAGAAATAGAAAATCTAGTTTTGCTTTCTGCTAATGTCGTTAGTGCGTTCCCTAAATGTCGCCCGCCGTCGTCAAAGAGGAACACAACAGGGATATAATTACAGGAGCAGCTCGTCTTCATTTTCCTGTAAAACACTCGGCCTGCTTGAGTGCTTTATGGATCACACGCACGTGCGCGCGAGCTGGCAGGTAATGATTTATTTCTCGGCTGTATCATGTTATCCCTCTAATTAAACTTCTCAAGGTGAACTCAAGGACAGCGGGAAGCCGCGTGTTATTGACCACATGGGAAATTCATTAAAAGGCTGCATTAAGTGTCATCTGAACCCTGCTTTCACTTTCCGCTGACGGGGAAGATGAACGACGCGTCGAGGCAGGAAACGAGAATTGAACCCGTCGTGTTGCTTCGTGGATTAGTTTCCGCTCAGCGTCCGGGCGGCGACGTCATCTTCAGTAACGAGCCGGACGCAGTGTCGCCGGAGGATTTGAACACGTCGGTGCTTTTTGTTTGTTTTTGTCAGAGGCGGCGCAGAGTGACGGGTCCAGGTGAGTGGAGGGAGCAACTTTATCCAGCACCAGGTGCAGTGGTGGAGCCAGGGGGGAGCCAGTGGTGGCCTCGACCACCACCATTTAATCTTCAGCCACCCCAACCATTCGAGGAAACTACTTTTAAACGTGTCTCACTTAAAGAAACTGGTCCACATGACACGATTGAACCTTTTTTGTTGTCGTACTTTTAAACCATCTGGGGTGGCTGGTTTACATATATAGGGTGGCAGCCATCTTGGATTTTGACTTGGCAACCGTGACCTTTTCTAGATGTAGCCACACACCAGAATGGAAGTCGGTGCCTCGTTTATTTTTCAGGTTATCGTGCTCACAACATGCACGGCTGGACAGACGGTATTTACAATTCCGCCTTTTTGCCAGATTGTGACGGTTTATTAAGGGGTTCTTATTTTTTATAATTAAAAACCATTAAACTCAATAGAATATCTTCATTGAACGTTACGATCCAGGTCATAAAATTTCTAGGACTAACGTTCGTAACAGTGTGCACGGCCAAGAATACAGTTCTGCACACAACAAGGTAAGACGACACAAACAAAACAACCGACCCGTTCGGCCTCAGAAACGTGAATGCTTAAAATTTATTGAGTTCATCAGAATTCAGAGAGAACACAACTGAAAATTCACTTTTTACTTTACAGTTTTGAGTGTCCAACAGTCGCAGCTCGGAGCGATAGCGGCTGCATTCTTTATTTTCATGAAACATTTCTCTTTGTGGTTCATGAATCTCCATTAATCGTGTCAAAAACTCATAAATCTGACTTGTTTTTATTAACTTCCAGTACTTTCATATTGTCTTATTTCATGTTACCGTATTTTTCCGCCGTACACCGCCCTATAAGTCGCTTCAGTCCAAATGTGTCTAATAAAGTGGAAAAATTCATAAATACTTCGCATCTATTACGCGTCACCGTTGACAACCCGGAAACGTGGGCCGGTGTTGTGCCAAAAATTAATTGGCTGCCAAATGGCGGCCACGAAAGCGTGCACGGGAGGACTTTAACAAGAATTTAACAAGATTAACACTTAAAAACAATTGTTTGTTTGCTGGAAATTATAGTAAAGGTGCGTCTCAGTCCGACTTTTCATTAATAAATGCACTTTGACGGTCAAATCAGCTGCATTTCTCCGGAGCGGTGCAGCGAAATGAAGCTGACGTTTGCTCCAGGCGAGCTGGACGAAGGTGGCAAGCTAAGGCAAGCCAATTGTGTCATTAATATCCACTTTTACCTATTACATGACTCAACGACATGCCATACTCCTCAAGTGCCATCTAGTGGCTGAAAATGGTAGTGCTCAAAATTTTCAGTCAGAATGAATGAAAGCGATTATATCTCAGTCATAAATTGGTTTATAAATATGGAAAAAAATCATAACGAAGTCGCTTCGGCGTGTAAATTATGCAAAACACCGCGACTTATAGGGTGAAAAATACTGTAGTAATACTTTAAAACATTTTAAAACTTTTTATATGATAAAGTTATTTTGTCATTTAACATTTCTAAAACATTTAGTTGCTACGATAGTGAAAGAGGTTCATCTGTGATGAAAAATCTTATAACTCGTTCAAAAGTCTTCCTAACAGCAAACGATGTGTATGAACCCTGATGATAAAATCTGTGTTAGAGGGAAATCTTCCATTTTTAGCTCTTTATTCTTGTTTTTATTGTCATTGCTCTACAGGGACAGCAGCTCTGTACTTCCCTCAGAGAGAGTACACGGAGACGGTGTACGTGGGACAGCCAGCAGGGACGCCGGTCCTGCAGGTCCACGCCATGCGGGACGGTGACTCTGAAAAGCCACATTTCTACCTGTGTGAGAGCCGACACCCGCCCTTCAGCTCCTGGTTCCACATGAACATCAGCAGCGGAGTCCTGGTCCTGAGGAAAACGCTGGAGGAGACGGACTTTTCCTCGCTGAGTGAGTTGGATTTTTTTTATTTTTTCACCTTTAGTTTATACAGGTAGTGTTACTGAAACGCACTGACTCATTTTCACCTGTTTTAAACATAATTAAGTAAAATAAAAGCATTTAAAAACAACCAGATCAAAGTGCCATATAAAACTAGATAAAATACTAAAAACAAGAACGTAACTGCTTAGATTTTTCAAACGTTTAAAATCCTTTAAAGAAGTCAATGTGGACAGCTTCAGGTGTTCCAGCTTACAGGAGCAAAGAAAAGGCCTTTTTGTCGAGTTCGGTCCACATCGAGGGGACGCTGCAGGTAACGAAGGCCTGGGGGCCGCACTGTAACTATAATAGATGAAGATGCACCAGTGTCTTTTGATGGTTAACGATGACCAACTAGTAGAGTGCAGTGATGGTAGTTACACCCAGTTAGGAACCTTTCAGCGCCGTGGTAGACCACATCCAACATGTGCAGGGAGCTGGCAGAAGCATTCACCGTCACCAGAATCGATGGCGGGTGAGAAAGTGGCAGCTACAAAACATTTCCTGGCATTCAAAGTTCATAGAGAGATTAGTGTCAATTAAAATTCCCAGATATTGAAGGAAGGAACTGCTGACACCAAATTTTTGTTATAGAACAGCATCTTCTTGGTTTTACCAGCATTTAGCAACAGTTTGAGAAGAACAAGTCTGATTGAATGAGGTCAGATGCTGACTGTAGAAGCTGGAAAACTTTGGCAGCTGTGTTGGCGTGACAGTAAACGATTGTATCGTCAGCATAGAGATGCACAGAGGTTTGACCCACACATAAATTGTGAAATGAGTGGGTCCTAAAACTGAGCCTTGTGGCACACCGTTAGTAAGTGTACCTTTTGTGCTGTACACACGTCATTCAACCAGAGAGGCGAAAAGGAAAACCAGCAATATAATAAAATCTGATCCTTTTGATGCTCGTGTTTAGTCCTAAAACAAGCCGAAGTTTAACTCTTCGCTTTCACACTCCGGTCAGAGCAGAGCTAAGTCACAGCGTGAGAATGAAACATCTTCTGGTTTTCTTCTGCCTCTCCTCAGATCAAAACTCATGGCAACGCAAAAAGCTGTCGCTCCAGGTCGCCGTTTCGAACGCCACCATCAAGAGGTCCCTGTGCAACCCCCAGAAAACAGCCCACATCACCCTGGAGTTCGTCAACGCCTCCGTGCCGCACTGCGCTCAGACGGACCTGAACGAACTTTGCTTCCCCCACATGGACGCCTCCAACCCCCACATCAAGGAGAACAGGTTCCCCGGGGCCCTCCGGCAGCTCCGGCAACTCACGAGACTCAACGTCTGCCCCAATTACACCGTCTCCTACAGCGTGGAGTCAGGTGAGACGGGAACTGATGTCGCCCTTCGGTCACCAGCAACATGGCCGCTAACGCAGCTAGCATGCCTTGAAGGAATGCATATCACCCGCTGCCTTTCATCTTAAAGCTTTAAATATAAAGTCATGGGCGATTACGCCCTCAGAGAACGTGTTGGGAATGACTCTCAGCTACTGTCACACCGAAGTTTAGCTCGTCTGAAAAACTGACCGAGTCAGAGTACGTCTATCTTTGCTCAGGTCAATTAGCAGTTAATAATTTTTAGTCGAGTTTAAGATAATCAGTTGTAGAGAAACATCCAATAATTACTAATAAAATCCTTGAAGTTCATGAGATATTTTGCTAACAGACAAATGAACACGCACAAATAGAAAAACATTGTTGCCCTTCTTCTGTGTTTTGGCTGCAGGTGATAATAAACTGCTGATACTGAGCAGCCTTAATACGGTTTACCATACAGTGGTCGCTAATGTACTCGCCCTTGTTTTGTTTGTTTGTTTGTTTGTTTGCACCGCCCTCCTGTTTGCTGCGTTCTGCAGAAACGCCGGCGCCGTTCGCTGTGAACGGGAACACCACGGAGCTGGTGGTGACCGCTCCTTTGGACCGCGAGGAGAGCGAAAAATACAAACTCCTGATGGTCTGCACCGTCCAAACGGAAAGCGCCGTCACCAAAGTGGACGCTTCGCTGGAGGTTCTGGTGGACGACGAGGACGACAACGCGCCCTACGTGAACGGGACGGACACCGCGGACGTTGTCATCAACTACAACCGCAGAAAGGCGAGGCGGGAATCTAACCGGCGTGTTTTCACCGAGGCTGAATTTTAGACCAAAAGCTAAATGTTTTTTTAATTGTTCTTCTTCCAGGGAGCAACTTTCGGGTCCCTGTTTGTGTTTGACAGGGATTTAACCACCATCTACCCCAAAGACCAGAGCGGAAACAGGTTTGTGGAGACGTTCATCAGCAGTGACCCCTGGATCAAAGACACCTTTGACGTCAAAGGAACCTTCAGTGAAAGGAAAGCTGCTCAGGGAGGCGTTCGAGAGTCCGTCTTCGATTACCGTAAGCAGCTCAGAGGCCGAATGACGTTAGAGCACAATTTAAACGAGAGCAAAGGTGAATGCTGAGCGCTGAAGAAGCTGAAACTGTGATGTTGAAGCTGAATGTAGCAGAAGGTTAGCTAAAAGCTACAAGAAGCAAAATGCTAACAAAACCCCCCAAATAGCTAAACTCTATCGAAAAGTAGCTAAAAGTTAAAACTAAGTATGGGCTAACATAAAGTAGCTAGATGTTAGCTAGTGTAGCAACAGTATAGCTAAAAGTGGGGAAGTGTTAGCTTAAAGTTAAAATTAGCAACAGCTAGCTAAAATTTAAAAGTAAAAAATCACTAAAAGCTCAAAGTCGGCAAAGAATGGTAGAAAATTAAACAAGCAAAAGGATAGCTTAAAAGTAAACATCGTAAAACACAAGCTAAAAGCAATCAAATGTTAGCGATAAGATAAATGTAGAAAAAAGAGGCTAGCTAAAATCAGCAACAACTAGCTAAAAGTAACAAAAGGTGAACTAAAATCAAAAGTGTTAAAAGTCTGGTTAAAGACTAAATTAGTAGCTAAAAGTATCAAAAGATCAGCTCAAAGTTAAAAGTCGCAAAAGACTAAAGTACCAACAAGTTTGCTAAAATCTAGAAATAGACAGAAATTAGCTTAAAGTAACAAAACATTTGCTAGAAGATAAAAGTTGGAAAACTTTAGTTTTAAGTTAAATGTAAGAATAGCAAGCTAAAATTAGCAACAACTAGCTAAAAGTAAAAACTCAAAAGTAGGAAAAGATTGGCTAAAAGTTAAAGATAGTTAAAGGCTCTCTAAAAGTAGCTAAAGGATTGCTTAAAGCTAAAATAGTAAAACATGAGGTAAAAGCAGTCAAAGATTAGCTCTGAGTAGAAAAAAGGCTAGCTACAAATAAAAGATGAACTAAAAACAAAAGGAGAACATGCTGGCTAACAATAAAATACTAGCTAGAAGCTAAAAAAAATGTAAGTCTTGCTAAAAGCATAAATTAGTAAAAGACTAGCTAAATGTTGCAAAAGATTAGGTCAAAGGTAAAAGTAACAAAAGACTAAAGTAGCAACAAGCTAGTTAAAAGTAACAAAAGGCTAAAGTAGCAACAAGCTGGTTAAAAGTAACAAAAGGCTAAAGTAGCAACAAGCTAGTTAAAAGTAACAAAAGGCTAAAGTAGCAACAAGCTAGTTAAAAGTAACAAAAGACTCAAGTAGCAACAAGCTAGTTAAAAGTAACAAAAGGCTAAAGTAGCAACAAGCTAGTTAAAAGTAACAAAAGACTAACTAAAAGCAAAGTGAAGAAAAATGCTGCTGAAGAATATTAAAATGTTAGATAGAAGCTAAAAATATCAAAAGTTTAACTGCTTCCTGAAAGTAGCTAAAAGCTAAAAGTGGCGTAATAAGACTAATTAGAGCCGGTTGATTTCAAGGACTTTTAAAGGACAAAGAGAATTTTATTTATTTCTGAGAGGATAATATTTGTAAAAAAGGTAAATATATTGAAAAGTATAAAATCTACAGAAACAAAAAGCCACGACACTCATCTCCTGAATCAGCTGAACATTTTGCTGTTGGAACAGCTAAAATATCAGCGGTTTGCAGAATAGTTTACTGTAAAAAAATAAAAAATACAGAAAATTAGAGTCTGAGATTTGATCTTTCTTCCCAACCTTACGTTCTCAGATCTGGTCCTGAAGAAAAACCTGCTGTTGACGGAGAACCGGAGCGTGTTTCTGGAGTACCGGGTCAACGACACCACCTACCCTGGTCTGGAGGGGACCGTCCTGCTGCACTTCAACATCACCGTCTTACCGGTCCAGATCCACTTCACCAACAGCTCCTACGTGTTCACGCTGTCCCGCAGAGCCTCACTTTATGCTCAGGTACGTGCAAAAGACCAGAATCAGCATCTTTCTTAAGTTTACTACAGGATGGACACTTTGTCAAGTCTGTCCAATGAGTCTGTCCAATGAGAATGTCCAACTAGACTGTCCAATCAGACTGTCCAATCAGACTGTCTAATCAGACTGTCCAACTAGACTGTCCAGTCAAACTGTCCAACCAGACTGTCCAATCAGACTGTCCAATCAGACTGTCCAACTAGACTGTCCAACTAGACTGTCCAATCAGACTGTCCAACCAGACTGTCCAATCAGACTGTCCAACCAGACTGTCCAACCAGACTGTCCAACTAGACTGTCCAATCAGACTGTCCAACTAGACTGTCCAATCAGACTGTCCAATCAGACTGTCCAACCAGACTGTCCAATCAGACTGTCCAACCAGACTGTCCAATCAGACTGTCCAACTAGACTGTCCAACTAGACTGTCCAATCAGACTGTCCAACCAGACTGTCCAACCAGACTGTCCAATCAGACTGTCCAACTAGACTGTCCAGTCAGACTGTCCAACTAGACTGTCCAGTCAGACTGTCCAATCAGACTGTCCAATCAGACTGTCCAACCAGACTGTCCAACCAGACTGTCCAACCAGACTGTCCAATCGGAATGTCCAATCGGACTGTCCAACTAGACTGTCCAACTAGACTGTCCAATCAGAATGTCCAACCAGACTGTCCAATCAGACTGTCCAATCAGACTGTCCAACTAGACTGTCCAACTAGAATGTCCAATCAGACTGTCCAATCAGACTGTCCAATCAGAATGTCCAATCAGACTGTCCAACTAGACTGTCCAACCAGACTGTCCAACCAGACTGTCCAATCAGACTGTCCAACTAGACTGTCCAATCGGAATGTCCAATCGGACTGTCCAACTAGACTGTCCAACCAGACTGTCCAATCAGACTGTCCAATCAGACTGTCCAGTCAGACTGTCCAATCAGACTGTCCAGCCATGTAGAACAGTCTAACAGCAGACGTCCTCTGAGGTAAAGCTTCATGCTCTGCAGGTTTCTTCCTTTCAGTCCTGGTTCGGTTTAAAGTTTATAAAATAAATGTTTCTATAGTTTGTTCTCTTCAGCTCGAGTCTCTTTAAGCTCCGCCTCCCTCCCCGTCAGCTGATGGCGAAGTGCCATGCATCATATTAGAGGTGCGCCTCTCTGCAGGCTGTATGGAAATGTGTTTTATGGTGATGTAATTGGGTAAATGGGGGGGGGGGGGGGGTGTCTGGACTTTAGGGTGAGTCAGCAGTCCTGAAGCTGTGGAGACCAGAATGTGGAGTCACTGAGGGACTGCCACCCTCTGTCAGCAAAATAATCAAAGAGAAACAATAAATGTAACTGTCAGCTAAAACAGTGCAACTACTTCTGCGTACTGTTTCTTTTACGTGTTCATGCAGCTAAATGTTCGGCTCATTCTGGAGACTGCTGCTGTGAGCTTCAGTTCCTGTAGCTTTTAAACTTTTCAAAAATTTTAACTTTATTTACAAATACTTTCCCCATAAAACACTTTAAGATCTTTTGTTCTTTCAAACTCTACTTCAACAACAGGTTTTTTAAATCTTCCTATGATACATTTAGCGTTTAGCCACTACTTTGCTATTTCTAGCTTTTAGCTAATTTCCTACCACATTTAGCTTTTACCTGGCGTTTGTTACTTTTATATCAACTAGCTAACATTTTGACATTATTACCTCATCTTTTGCTAGTTTTAACTTTTCACTAACTTTTTGCACTTTTAGCTTTTATCTAGCTTTTTGCTACATGTAGCCAGACTTTTGCTATTTTTAGCTTTATCAACCTTTAGCCTTCAGCTAATCTTTTTCTACAGCTAGCTAGCATTTTGTTTTTACTTCACCTTTTGCTAGTTTTAACTTTTAGCTGACATTTGGACGTTTAGCTTTTAGCAGGCCTTTTGCTACATGTAGCTGACCTTTTGCTACTTTTAGCTTTAGCTACTTTTAGTTTTCGGCTAGTATTTTGCTACAATAGGTAGCATTTAGCTATTTTTACTACTAGAAAACATTTTTCTAACTTTTTGCTTCTTTTAGCTTCAACAGCTCAACTTCAGCTCCTTCAGCATTTTTCAGCGCTCGGCCTTCTTTCGGTATTTTAGCAGCAAAAGTTGTTTTTTTAGTTTAAACTATTTTAACTCGACTTTTTTTTAACTTCCTGTCAGGTTGGAAGAGTTTGTGTGGAGAACTGCCTGCAGTTCGATGGCTTCAGTGTCTCGTACCAGCTGGAGGTGCCAGACAACACTTCGGCTGATTTGCTGTTCTGCTATTCGGCCGTGAGCATCACCCGGTCCTCAGACGGGGTGCAGGGAGTTCTGTACGTGAACAACTCGGAGGCGCTGCGAGCGTGTCCGGACCTGCAGTACCTGGTCGTGGCTCAGGAGGGACTCACGCAGCTGGAGGCCAGCACTCAGATCCACATCGTGTTCGAGGGCGAAGGTACAGCTGGAACCATCTTTCACAAAAAGTGTCAATTCTTCTTCCACTGGCTCTATGATCTGTTATCATTTTATGCTACTTGTAGCTTTTAGCCACCATTCTGCTAGTTTTAAGCTTTAGCTAGCCTTTTGGTACTGTTGGCCTTGAGCTAGCATTTAGCTACTTATGTGTATTGTTCTACTACTTTTGCTATTTTTGCTTTCCTTTTGATACCTTCAGCTAGCTTTTTGCTACGTTTAGCTTTTGACAAATCTTTAGCTACTTTAACTAATGTTTTGATACTTTTTGCGTTTAGCTTGGCTTTGGATGCCTTTAGATATTTTTTTTGTCTTTAAAACTTTTAGCTGATATTTTATGTATTTAGCTACTAAATAGTTTGTTTTATATTTTTGGCTTTTAACTAGATTTTTGCTCATTTTAGTTTTAAATTAGCCTTATGCTACTTTTAGCTTTTACCGTAGTTAGCCTTTTGATCCTTACAGCTTGTTTTGCAACTTTAAGCTTTTAGATACTTTTTTGAAACTTTGGATTTTAGCTTAGCTTTTGCTGCTTTTAGCTAGTTGTTTGTCCTTGTAGCAAGTATTTAGCTAATTTAGGCTTTCAGCTAGAGTTTTACTTCTGTTGACTTTTAACTGATGTTTTGAGTTTGTAGCTTTTAGCTACCGTTCTGAAGCGGCGACCACGTTTAGACCGAGCTGTTAGCGGTTTCCTTCACAGAGGGTTAGCTACAAATACGAGCAAAATGTTTTCTTAGCTTTAGCGTTTCCTCGTTGATGTTTACAAACATCTGGTTCTGGTTCTGGTGAACGAAGCAAACAGGACCAGGGACGAGGGCCAGCAGCTGCTGTCCTGCGCAGAAAACCGACAGCGAGGCGAGTGCGAGTCCTCCCGAGGTCTGGGCGCGACGACGGGGACGTGTCTGTGGCGGCAAGGCTCCGACAGAGGTAAGCTCCGCCCAGCAGAACCGAACACGCGTCCTTTGTAGCAGTTGGTCTTAAAAGTGTCTTTTTAATTTTGTTGGAAACAAACAACAACAATAAAACATCAATAAAACCACCAGCGTGATGCTCTGATGGTAAATTTACTGAACCTGTTTGTTATTTTTTCTTGTTTCAGAAATAACTAAAAATTACTCGACGTGCTCGCCTGACTTGCGCACGTGTCCGGATGCGTTTTGTGATGCGGTGGAAAGCAAAGACGTGTCGATATGTCCGCAGGACTGCACCAGTAAGACCAGCATGCTCTGCTCGTTCACACCCACGTGTTAAAGTCGTCAACTGTTCACATGTTGTCGAAGGACGCACCGTTGTTTTTACCGGAGCAACGCACTCTGTGTGGATGACGTACACCGGTTGTTCTGTTGGTTTTGTTGGACCCGAGGTGCAGACGGAACTCGGGGAGCCCAAAGTGTAAATTAATAATTTATTTAAATAAAAAAATCACTGACGTTGGAGCAAATCTTACATTTGCCAGGAAACACGGAGGGAGGCCAGAACACGACAGTGCACGGACAGGGGACCAATAATGAAACGCAGAATATATAGAGGCCCTAACGAGGGGATGAACACAAACATCTGGACAACAGCTGGCAGAGGAGGAGCTGATCACATGAGGGGAAACACTGCAGAGGACAGACGACACAGAGACCCTCTCAGTGGAGACTAAAACACAAGCAGTTCAGGCTAAAAAGATAAAATGTTTGACTAGGCCTGTCACGATAAACAAAAAATCAATTAATCGCACGATAAATGAAAATTATCGACCTCATTTTCATTTATCGAATTTATCGTTTCTTCGTCTTTCTACTGAAGACACTGGATGACAAAAGGCTCGACTCCGGTTCTTCACTGACCCCTCCCTTTCTCTTTAAAATCTGTTTTAATCATCCAAAATCGTGTTTTTGATCTTTAAAAGCAGCTAAGCTACGAGCTAAGCTACGAGCTAAGCTAACAGGCCGAGCTCGGGGAAAAAACCTCCGTCTTGTCGTAGCTCAAATTCTCAATTGAAACTCGTGCCTTCGTGTAAAAAGTTGTTTTTCTCTGCAAAAAGAAGCTGCGAACTTGTTTACTGATTTAAGAGCTCAAACCACTCCGAGCGTTCGCCATTTTGAGAACCGTAAAGAGACAGCCCATGTCACGTCAAGGAGCCTCCCTCCATTTTTCTTAGAGACGCGCTGCTCACTTCCTCACTATCCATCCTGGGGTTCAAACAGTCTTATACTGCCATCCAGTGGTCAAAAAAAGGTACTACACACAAAAAATTAACCAACATTTCTTCTTAAATTTGACAATATTGACTAATTATTGTCAAATTTCAAACAATATTATCGTTTATCGCAATAATTTCTGAGACAATTAATCGCCCAGTAAATTTGTTATCGTGACAGGCCTGTGTTTGACAGTAAAGTTATATTTGCTACGTTACGCAGCGTATACTTGTCAAAACGGTGATTAACTTGTGGTGTTTAGTATATTAGCTCCGAAGCTAACGGGAAAGCTAACAGCTGTAGAGCGCAGCGTGTAACGGGGCAGCTGTTTCTCTGGTCTCTGCAGGGGAAGGGGTCATCGGCGGCTTCGAACCAGGACTGAGCGGGTTCGGCATTAAGGCGGGCCACGGGACCTGCTACTGCTTCTCCGAGAAATGCTTCTGTGAGAAGATGGAGGAGTTCATCGGAGAAGGTGACTCATCGACGTTTATAGCTTGAAAACTAAAGAGCAGCTTGTCGCCTGCTGCTCCTACAGTTTTAAACAAAGGTCTTGCTGCGTCGCAACGTTTCGGTCGTTTCAGGGGAGTCGTGCTCTTCTTTCAGAGGCGATATGTGACGACATGTGCAGAACCGTCGTCGCCACGGCTCTGCTCCTCTCCTTCATCGTCTCCATCCTGCTGTCCTCGTACTTCATCCACCGGTACCACAAGAAGTCCCCGAAGCCTCCCATAGCGTCGGCTGAGATGACCTTCCGCCGCCCGGCGCAGGTTTACCCCATCAGCTTCCCCGCTAACAACCTACGCCGCGGCTCGCAGGAATCCATCGAGACCGACACCTTTAAGATACCTGTAAGCTTCTCTCAGGCTGTTACTGGAGAGGGTTCCCAACCACTGGGCCACGGACCAGCACCGGGCCGGTGATCAGTTTTTACCGGGCCAAACAAATGTTACGAAAAAGTTCTGTATAAATATTTCAGTATGTATTTTTGTTGGGTGTTTTATTCTGAAAAATTACTGTTTTTATTTTCGCATCCTGTGTTTGCCTCAGTCAGCATCCAGACAAATTTTAGCTTCAAGTTGTTTTGCTGATTTTAGTGTTTAGCTAGTGGTTCTACTTGTTGCCACTGTTCTGATCATTTTAGCTTTCAGCTATTATGAGTGTTTTGCTAATTTTGTCGTGTACCCATTGTTGCTATTTCTACATTTTAGCTACAATTTTCATGTTTATTTTTAGCTAGCATTTAGCAGTTGTTCGGCTGGTTCTAACTTTAGTTTATCTTTCAGCTACAGCTGTTTTAACTAGTGTTCAGCTGGTCTAACTTGTAGCCACTGCTCTGTTCATTTTAGCTTTCAGCTACAGCTTTGGCTACTGTCCACTGTTTTGATATTTTTACCTTTTAGCTACAATTTTTATGTTTATTTTAGCTAGTATTTAGAAATTGTTGGGCTGGTTCTAACTTGTAGTCACTGCTCGGTTCATTTTGGCTTTCAGCTTCAACTTTGGCTACTATCCGTTGTTTTGATATTTTTACCTTTGGGCTATATTTTTTATGGTTGTATTTTTTCAGCTAGCCTTTAGCAGTTGTTCCGCTGGTTCCAACTTAATTTTATCTTTCAGCTACTACAACTGTTTTAGCTAGTGTTCAGCTGGTCTAACTTGTAGCCACTGCTCTGTTCATTTTAGCTTTCAGCTGCAACTTTGGCTACTGTCCACTGTTTTGCTATTTTTACCTTTTAGCTACAATTTTTATGTTTATTTTAGCTAGTACTTATAAATTGTTGGGCTGGTTCTAACTTGTAGTCACTGCTCTGTTCATTTTAGCTTTCAGCTACAACTTTGGCTACTGTCCACTGTTTTGCTATTTTTACCTTTTTAGCTACATTTTAAATAGTTTTATCGTTTAGCTATTTTTTCTGATTGTTTTAGTTTCAACGATTCAGTTTCTTCAAGAAATATCAACAAGTCACTGACACTGGTTTAAACTGTATTATTGCAGAAAAAGCTAATTATATGTGCGTGTGTGTATATATATATATATATATATATATAAATATATATATATATATATATATATATATATATATAAATATATATTACATGACGAGCAAAGCTAAAAGTTAAACCTAGAAAAATGAGTACAAGCTAAACCTTGCTGGAGAACGTCCTCCTCCTTTTAGTTTGCAGGAACGTTGTCTTGTACTTCACCGTTCCATGGAAATGTTGCCGGCCGCTGCTGTGCAGATTAATTTCCGCCCTTTCTGTGGATTTTTCGCGTCATCGAATGTTTTTCGGCTGTTTTTTTAACAGGAGGATCCAAAGTGGGAGTTCCCTCGTAAAAACCTCGTTCTTGGCAAGACCTTGGGAGAAGGAGAGTTTGGGAAAGTCGTCAAAGCGACGGCGTTCAGGCTGAAAGGAAAAGTCGGCTACACCACCGTGGCTGTCAAAATGCTTAAAGGTAAAACCAGCGTCCCGACGGTTCTGGAAATGCTGAACTGTGAGGGGTGTGCGAGTACCGCCGCTGCCTTTCTGTTGCAGAAAACGCTTCTCACAGCGAACTCCGCGACCTTCTGTCAGAATTCACGCTGCTGAAGCAGGTCAACCACCCGCACGTCATAAAGATGTACGGCGCCTGCAGCCAGGACGGTGAGCCTTCGCTCCTCCCGCCTCCCTCTGTCGTTGCTCCAAATCCGAGCGCTGCGTTTCTCTCCACAGGTCCGTTGTATCTTATCGTTGAGTACGCCAAATACGGGTCGCTCCGCAACTTCCTGAGGGAGAGCCGGAAGGTCGGTCCGAGCTACATGGGCAGGGACGCCAACCGGAACTCCAGTTACCTGGAGAACCCGGACGACAGGGCGCTCACCATGGGGGATCTGATCTCCTTCGCCTGGCAGATTTCCAGAGGCATGCAGTACCTCGCGGAAATGAAGGTACGGAGCAAGATACAAGATAAAGGAGAAAAAATGGGTTTCTGGAAAAGAATATATTAGGAAGGCGTGTGGATGTGTACTACTTAGATGTTGAAACATTTTTTAAAAAGCGCTAAAAGACCCCGTTATACAAATGTTGGGTAGCAGTACATAATACAGCCTGGTGTTCACCAAGTGTGTACCTGATACGTACCTGGTACTTACTGAATATGTACTTGATGCTTGCTGTACCTGGTAACTGGTACAGGGGCGGCTGTGGCTGAGTGGTTAGAGCAGTCGTCCTCCAGTAAGAGAGTTGGGGGTTTGAGTCCACCAGCAGTCACATGCTGGAGTGTCCCTGAGCAAGACACTGAACACTCATCACCTCCGATGTGTCCCATCAGTGTGTGAATGTGATGAAAAGCACTTTGTACAGATCTAGTATAGAGCTGTATGAATGGGTAAATGAGGCACAGATTGTGTTGTAAAGAGTTTTGAGTATCTTGATCAGATAGAAAGGTGATATATAAGTACAGTCCATTTGCCATTTACTTACTAGCTACTTACCTGGTAATTTAATGGTACCTACCTTGTATTTACTGGGTATGTACTTGGGTACCTAGAGGGTATAGACCTGGCAATTATTTGGTACTTACCTGGTTTAAACTTGGTACCAGGTATGCAACTTGTACTTTCAATGTACATACTAGGTACATATGTTAACTACAGTATTGGTACTTATCTGTACCTAGTACTTACAGAGATATGGTTGTATTATGAAGTAACTTGTTACTCTGTAGGTATCTGATACTTACAACTTGCAGACATGATACATATTCCTTAAGTACATACCTTGTACTGTAAGAAGTCCTTTTAGATGAAGGATGAAACGTCTCAGTTTAAAAAAGAAACCGTCCAGAGGACCTGACTGAACATCGCTGGATCCTTTACCTGGATTATTGAGCATGAACTTTGGTGTACATACCTTGTACTTGCCAGTTACGTGCCGGGTACTTGCAGGGTATAAAGCTGGTAGCTCCAGGGTACCCTTACTACCCTGGTAAGAACCGTGTTATGTATTGCTTCGTGTTTTGCATCAAAACTGCTTCAGTTTCAACCGAACTGTAAAACCTAAAACGTTTTTATTGCCGGTAAAATTTGCAGTAAAACATCAAATCGGTGTTGATTTTGTCACGAAGCGCCTAACATGAACATCTTGGTCCAACAGCTCGTTCACAGGGACCTGGCAGCACGAAACGTCCTGGTAGCCGAAGGACGGAAGATGAAGATTTCAGACTTTGGCCTTTCCAGGGACGTTTATGAAGAGGACTCGTATGTAAAACGGAGCAAGGTATAAAAAATATATAATTTTGATTGTTAACCTTGTTTTTTTAAGCAAACTGAACAAAGTCTCTTCCTTTTCACCAGGGTCGTATACCTGTGAAGTGGATGGCGATCGAGTCCTTGTTCGATCACATCTATACCACGCAAAGCGACGTGTGAGTACAAGTTAAAGGAACATCACGGCACACGCTGATGCACCGGACTGAACAGTTAGCTGCTGTACGAATCAAATTTATAGTTCTTTTAAACAAAAAACGTGCATCCGTTCATCTTCTGCTGCTAATCCAGTTGTGTAAGAACCAGCCCAGGCCAACGATCGTCAGACCTCCCTCTGAGGTCTACCTGCTACCTTCTCCAGCTCTTACGAAGGGACTCCCAAGGGTGAGACCAGTTGTGAGATCTCCATCTGCTCGGATGTCTCCTCCCAGTGGGACACGTCTGAAACACCTCCCTTGGTTGGCGACCAGAACACCCCTCCATCAGTCTCCACCTTACTGAGGTGGTTGTGTGGTGTAGGTGTCTGAGCTCCCCAAAGACTCCTGAAGCTACAGTCTGGGCCTCCTGTCACTGACTGACACAAATTAGGAGCAGTTTGGTAACCTTTATGGTGACCACAAGGCAAGACTCAAGATGGGGATACCAGGGTCAGCACCTGGAGCCAGGATTGTTGGTGGACCCCTGCTGGCTAGGCCCTTACCGTTAGAACTCAGGGTACAAGAATTTACCTAAAAAGGTTAATTGGCTTGTTGATCCAACTGTACCTTAAAAAGTACAGACATTAAAAAGGGTTCTGTCTTTAGTGGTACCCTTTTGGACCTTGAAGGTATGAAAAATACTGTACAGTACTTTTGCCAGTTCCTTTAAAGGTACTAACAAAAAATGTATGCTTGTGTTGCTTACGGCACAACGCTCGTACTTTTCGAGGTACAGCTGGAGTAACAAGTCGGGCTAGACACAAATATGTAGGACCCCCGCCTGTGGAGCTACACCCTTCAGGCGGCGCTGTAAGGGACTGCTACATTGTGGGTCTGGTTCGTTTGGGGAGGTGTGAACTAGGGCTTTAACAGACTACTTGAGTAATCTACACATTGATTCCTAGGACACCTATCGAGTTTTTAAATTTAATGTCGAGTATTCGTGGTGACGTCATTACGTCGCTGTTGCATCACGTGTCACGTGATCCGCACCGGGCGCGGGTTACAAAATGGATTCCTTCAAGCAGACAGATGGAGCCGAGCAGGTCCAGTCTTGGAAAATTGGTAGAAATGCATCAATAGTCTGGAAATATTTCACTAAAGATGAATCAACTTCCTGACTGTTTGGAGCTCGTTGTGAACCGGTGTTACACAATATTCTGTAACCACCGTATATTGTGACCGTAGGAGGCGGTGTTGCATGCACTGTTGCAGGTCACAGAATATGGTGTAACACCGGGTCCAATGATAGAACCAGCTTCCTCTGATCGTGTTTCACAAACAAAAAGAAAAAAATATTAATCTCTAAACCTATAAAAGACCTATAAACATATTAATCTCTAAAACTAAACCTAATGCGCACCACAGCTGTCGGTGGTGTGGGGTGATCGTCTGCCCCCCCCCCCTCCACCCCCACACTGTTTTTTAGTTTCGTTTTTGACGTGCTGCACGTTTCTTTCACTTTTGCAGCTTAATGATAAAAACTAATAGTTTTAGTTTTCCTGTGACTTATTTGCAGTTTGATAAATGGTAGGAGCATAATATACACTCCCAATGTTTTGTTGGTCTTTTTTTTGTAAATAATTACCTTTTTTTGCAGTTTTATTTATTTATTTATTTTTGCATCTTGAGATCCTATGCCGTCATCAAGTACTCGAGTTCTGCTCGAGTTTAAAATTATGTAGTCGTTCAACCCCTAGTGTGAACGCGCCGTCGAACTCTGTCACGGAACAAAAAGGCGAACTCTGGCCCGGTCTAAAACCTAGGTCTCGGTCCGGTTGAAGAAAACTCCAGCGTGGTTCCAGTACAGTGTGAATGTAAACAGACCGAGCCCCGCTCTGCAAGCAGGAAGTGGAGTACAGCGTAGGACAAACAAACACACATTTCTCTTAGCTCATATGGAGCCGTCAGCTCCTTGTGTGAAAAACAATATTCTCCATGATCTTCTGCCTCATCTTCCACTCATGCTGAGTCCATTGTTGAAAAATGACAAAACAGAACTCTAAAACTTGATGCCACTCCATTTTAGTTTTTATTTCCAGAAGAAGACGTGTCTTCAGAGGTTTTTGTGTCGTTTCTTTCAGTAGTTCTTGGTGCAGCGCCCCCACAGGCGAGCGGGGGAACAGGTTGGTTCAACAGGTTGGTCGACTGCACAGTGCAGTGTGAACGCAAACGCACCAGCTCAAATGTAACAAAATGTCATGAATATCGGTCCAGAACCGAACCAAGTCTACCGGACTATCTGGTGTGAAAACAACCTCAGTCTCTCCAGCGTGTCCTGGGTTTTCCCCGGGGTCTCCTCCCAGTAGGACATGTCCAAACCACCTCAGCTGTTTCCTCTGGATGTGGAGGAGCAGCGGTTCTACTCCAAGTCTCTCGGATGTTAGGAACATTTCTTAAATTAAATAAATGAGTGAACTTGGGTAGGTGTATTCTTACTCTGTTTCAGCTACATGACCGTTTTTAAAATGGCGCAAGAAGATTCTCTGCCCCTAAAACGTCCTCGAGTAAACTTGGTACCTTACCGACATTTCCACCGACTGTAGCTGCCGTTTTTCTCCAGATGAAACAGAACTTCCTGCTTTCACTTCTTCTCTGAGCGTCTCTCTTCCTGCAGCAGGAAAATCTGTTTCTTCAACAGACAAGTTTGACTAATATTTGTTATATCTGCAGTAAATTTAATCCCTGTGGCAAAATGAGGAACGGTGACTCAGTGTCGGAAAGTAGCTAAAGTTCGCCTTTTGTTTTCAGATCAAGGATCGTGGTTGTTTTAATTTTAAGCAGAAAAAAGTTTCAGAGTAAGTTTGACAGAAATGATTCAGTCTCCCTTCCCAAACTAAACAAATTTAGAAACAAAGTAATTCAGTAAGTATAGAAGAAATGACGGGAAATACGCTAAAAGCTTTTGTCTTGCTACGTTTACTCAAACTTAAATAAACGTTCATAAAGAAATGTAATTATGAAAGTGTTAAAATGAACAAAACAACTCTTTAAAGCAAAGTTCTGGGCGTTGTTGGGGTTCTCCACGTCTAAAGCCGGAAGGTCTTGCCATAGTTGGGAGCGCCCGTCACGGCACTGATCTCATCGTTTAGCTCTCAGCGGGAGTTCTTTCATTTGTCAAACGTGCGAGAGAAACGACAACACGGCTCTGGTTTGTGATTCATTCTTACATTTCTGTCGTCCAGCTGGTCGTTCGGCGTGCTGCTGTGGGAGATAGTGACTCTGGGAGGGAACCCGTACCCGGGCATCGCTCCAGAACGCCTCTTCAACCTCCTCAAGACCGGCTACAGGATGGAGAAACCGGAGAACTGCTCCGAAGAAATGTGAGCGCCTCCGTTTTACCTTCTAACCAGGTCGGGTCAGGTCCTCTGGACCGATTCTTCTTTGTTGAAGCGCTTCAACGAAGACGTATCCGTCCAGAGGACCTGACCCGACCTTCTTAGATTGATCTAGCTGGATTATTGAGCACGTCTGTTTTACTTTATTTCTGTCCACTGTGGCATCACCTTGTTGCTGCTGAATGTTTAGGACAAGCTGTTTAACTGAGAGCAGGTCCGTAAACCACAAACGAACAATAATATCAAGACATTTAAACGTATTCGAACATATCTTTTATTACTAATGAAAACTGATGTAATTGTTTTTTCATTAACTCTTTAACTCCGTATTTAAACCTGTAGCGTCCATCGAGTGGTGCTGCAGCACCCTCCACACCCCTGCTCCTCCCCCCGTCGTTCTGCTTTGAGCCCAAACGGATTTATTTATTTATTTTAACCCTCCGGGAAACTTTTTCCTCCGCAGGTACAACCTGATGCTCCGGTGCTGGAAACAAGAATCCGACAAGAGGCCGACGTTCTCCGACATCAGCAAAGAGCTGGAGAAGATGATGGTGAAGAGTCGGGTACGCCCACGCCTCCATGAATTCATTCGTTTTATGTTTCGTACTGGACAGAAGTGAGAGGAAGATGGGACGGTTTGTGTCCTCAGGTTTAAACGTTCCTGAAATGTGATTAGATTCACAGGAACAAACAACTCCTCTGGTTTCACAAAAATTAACTGAAAATATACAACAGCTTTTTTTTCTGAGTGCTGAGAGCCGAATGACTGCGGAAGAAGCTGAGCTGGTAACGGAAGCAAAACACTAGCTAAAAGCTAAAAACTAGCTACAATATATAGGAAGCAAAATACAAGCTAGGTATGAGAAGCAAAACACTAGCTAAAAGCTAAACACTAGCCACAGGACTAAAAGCCAAAATAAGGAAAATGCTAGCTAAGAGCTAAAATAAGCCAAACACTAGTTAAAAGAAGCTAAATGCTAAATAAAGATAGCAAAATAGTAACTTAAA